CCAAGAGGACTCACGTGATTACATCTCATCCACTCATGCTCCATCGCGCGACTATGCCGACTCTCCCTACTCATCTATGCATGCGTCAGGGGGTGTGCCAGCGCTAGACACGCCGGAAGCCGACACTACCGCACGAGCTGAGGAAGAGCCTGTCCAAGAAGAAGAGGAGGAGGACGCGGATATCGCCGGTCTTGGATTTTCCAAGAAGCGCAGACCTCGTGGGGCGAGTACGAGAAGCGGTTCAGGGCATGGTTCGGGCTCCAGAGACGGCGGAAGTATTGGTAGCGAATCAAGAGGGTCTCAAAGTCTAAGTCGGACAAGCGGCTCAGCGCGGGGCGGTGTTGGTGTGGCAAGTCGAGGTGCTGGCAAGTACCTTGCAAGTCCTTCTTTCTCTTTCGGAACTGCGACGCATGGACAGCCTGATCGACTGGAGCCACAGAGAAGAGGTTCTGAAGCTGGATCGGCAGAGGGCAATAGTGCCGCGAGCTCTGGAGCCAACAGAGCGACTTACAGGGACAGACCCAGACGGCACGAGAGGCAAAATAGTCGAAGCACTGCATCGAGCGGTGGAAGAGTTCGGGAAGGTCCCTTGAAATCGGCAGGACTCTCACCTACGCCAGGCACAATCATTAGTCCAACTTTGGGAGGGGTGCAAGAGCACGAACAGGACTCGACAGTGCATGGAGAAGACGCGGCCGATGCCGCTGCAGGAGGCTTTGACGATTTCTTCCCTTCCCCCAGCGCGGCGTCTTTCGCCCCCCGTACCCCGGCCGATCCCTCAGCAGGAAATGGCTTTTCCCCAAAGCTCGAAGCTCCTTCTTACAAAGACAGACGAGGCAAGGGTCGAACAGCAACCGGAGAGAGCGCTTCGTCATCTGGTGGATCGGCTCGTCGCGAGCGACCCGGCCGTGCGCCTACAGCTTCCGAGTCGGCCCAGGAAGACGTGCCAGACGAATTTTGAGACGCTGCCAACTCCTTTCCTCTCGACGGCAAATCCTACGCATCTTTCACGAATAGTATCACGGCTTCAAAGCAAAAAGGCATTGCAACATATTGACATTTACGAGCGAGCAACGCGAACGGATGACGTGATGTAAAGCACATGAAATGGACACGCAGAGGGCAAGCAGCCAAGAAGAGATGAGAAAAGGGCGTCTCGGCCGCCGGCGGCCGAGACGCTGCAAGTGCGAGACTACGACAGATTTTCGAGATGGCGAGCGGTAGGCAAAAAGGAGGGGGGGTAACGAAGCAGCGCACATGGCAACATCTCACGCGAAGCCTCTGAAGGAGCTAGGTGGGGCTTTGGCGCGCAACACCGAGGTCTGAGTGTCATTAGAGACAGTGCCACTTACAGAAGATGCTCGACCGGCGGGTCGACTCGCTGCGCTCTGACTTCTCCCCATAACTATGCCCGTGTTGGAGCTTCGCCCAGCCGCGCTTCTAGGCCTGGCCGAGCCCATAGAGCTAGCAGGCCGGCTCGAGAGAGCGCCATCTGTGCTGGGGGCATCTCCCGCGCTGGGAAAGGCGTGCACGCTCAATCTCCGAGTTGCTGCGTTGTTGCTCCGCGGTGCAATGCTGGGCGTGCCGAGCGCTTTGATGCTGGATACGCTCTGCGAGCCTCGTCTGTGACCCGATGCGGTATAATCTGCTTGAGGCGTGGGCTGCGCACCATTGACGGCTTGCTTCATGCTTCGAGTGGGACTGCCCGTAGGGTCGTTGACGCCCCGAGCCACGCTCGCGCGATTTCCTCTAGGCACTACGCTTGGCGCTTGAAGGCTCTTTGGCTTCGCGGCTTCTGCTCGCGGGAGACCACTGATACCTACATTGCCCACAGACGACGACTTGGACACATCTGTGCCATTCGTTGCGGAGGAAATGGCCCTTGTCCGTGGCGCAGTGGGTGGAAGCTCCAGACCAGCGCGGATGGCAGCGGCCCTATTCATGCGAGGAGCCTGTGTTGGCCCAGCGATGGAAGCAGGCCGGGCCGCCTTTGTCTTGGGCACTCCGCTAATGCCAAGCTCCACACCGGTATCGACCACTTTCTTGTGCTCCGTGGAGGGCTTCCTGACAGGTGCGGGGGGAAGCTCTATTCCGGCGCGAATAGCTGCCGCCCGGTTCATCCTCGGAGCAGTGGTGGGCTGTGCTATAGAGGTGGGACGCTGTGCTTTTGCTTTGCGCAGGCCGCTGATACCCAGCTCAATTGAGTCATTTGACGCGGCGTTCTTTTCGGCTTCAGTCGCTTTGCGAACAGGCGGAGCAGGCAGGTCCACACCCATTCTTAACGCAGCAGCGCGCGAGAGACGGGGTTGGCGTGTAGCAGAATGGGTAGAGGCAGGTAGCGGTCGTGCTCGAAACGCGGATCCACTTGGTGAGCCCTTCGCAACGAGACGCGCTGCGGGATCATGCGTGCTAGTGTGACTCGAAGATGGTCTGGAAAGCTCGTCATCGACGACCGGTGCATGGCCGCCCCGCTCGTATGTGGAGTGTAGCTCTTCTTCCAATGCCAGCTCTGTTCCATCCGGAGCAAATGCTCTGCCACCTTCATCGTACTGAACATCGTCGGCGCTGAGGATAAGCGTGCTGTTCTCACGCGACATGTGGTGTACATGAGCCTGCTCGTCTGCCTCGTCTACGTCGGGTACGTCGATTGGCTCTACCGCATCCGCAGAATCCACTCTGCTGTGGGCCGAGCTGTGATGCATGCTGTCCTCGAGCGGAAGCGCGCTCGTGCCTTCCTGTTCATCAACGTCAGCTTGGTCTCGCGGTGCGGAGGATTGAACATCCGAGTCGATGGTGGCTTCCGCTGCAAATGCATCAAGCACACCTGCCTTTGCGAATTCGGGAAAGCAAATCGCAATCTGTCGCTCTGTGGCGTGCTCTTTGGACGAGCCGTACACAGCAGCATCGCCAAATGTTCTCCTGAGACCTTCATCTGGCCCCTCCTCGTCGTCGAGCTCGATCGCAGGACCTTCGACTTCGTGGTCGCGACCCATCAGCTTCGTCCAAGTGTCCGTACCGCCAGGACCTTCCAGCACAAGCACGCGAATGTCACCTCGTGTCAGTCTATGCGCCCATGTTGATCTGGCAAAGTCTGAAGACTCGTGTAGCAAGAAGGCATCCAAGAAGTCGCCATCCGTGTCCGCTAGCCAGCGCTCTGTTCGCTCTGCGATACAGCGCAGACCAGCTGAAGCAGCTCTGTTGAGGATCGCAGAGCGGTGGACTTTTGCCGCGCTTTTGAGCAGAATGGCCAGCACACGCCCTTCCAGCGGAGGTGCGACCGAAGGAGCGGGTGAGACTCTACTGCGCAAAGAGTGACGAGGTGAGGGAGTCAAGGCTGACTGCGACGCGCTGGGTGCTAGTCGAAATGGGCTGCTGGGAACGCTGTTGTTCGGCGATGAGCGATGATGTGGTAGCCCGATCTGGGGAGAAGGGAAGGGCACATTGGGTGTCGCTTTGCTTGGAGTCAGCATGGCGCGCATACACTCGCTTGTGATTATTGTCTGGCTCAGCCACTTGTCGAGTCGTAAGTGCTTGTGGGTGTGACTTGGATCTTCGTGTTGGTTGAAGGGAGAGATGGGGGCGCTTCGCAGATGATGAGCTAGAGGTGAGGTGAGAGCTGTGACAAACGCATCGATGAGCGCTATTCGAGACCTGGATGGCACCCACGCCGTGCCGAGTCCGCACTGACGACTTGTGGTCTGCGGATGGCGGGTGAGCCAAGGGTCGTGCGCCTCCAAACCGCGGTTGAAGCTTGATGAATCACGAATGTGAGTCGTGAGTGCCATCCGCAAATGATGCTGCGCGCGAGACGACAAAGGTACGCGCTGTCATGCTGCTTGCTGCCCGCTCGCTGCTAGCTTGCATGCTGCTGCACGCGCTGCCCCGCAATCAGCCAGCTGTAATTTCACGGCGGCGTCGCGGCGGCGGCGGTGGGCACGGAGGCTTGAGCGCGATATTCGATTCAATTGCAATCACGCGCTCCAGGAATAATCTCGATGGCGTTGCTTGGCCCATCTCTGACTTGCTCCGATCCCCCTGCGAGCTAAGTGGTTGCACGCTTCCTCGTCAGCTACAATGTGAATCTTGAATCGTGGATCTCGTCCATCCACGCGGAAAGCTGGCTTTTGACTCTATGGCTCTTCATAAGCTTCACCTAGCATCGATGGCTGTCCGCGACGGTTGCAGTCACGAGTGGGACAGCTCGAGCCTTGCTACATCCTCAGCCTCGCTATCCCAGCACGAACGCAATCGTGAACGTCCTGCTCTCAAGTCTTGCTCCGCTGTGCAGCCAGAGGCGACTACGTACCTCTGTCCTCGCGTGATACCAACCGACGAGTCTGGATAGCAAGCTCGATCTCGCAGACAAATTTGTTTCGCAGGAAGAGGATGGACGAGATCGCGGTGGATGCTTCGCGCACTCCGCGCGGCATACAGCCGACCTTTCCTACCTGGACGCCAGCTCAAAGTGGATCAAAAGTCGCGCGACAGAGATGAGTCAACTAAACTTGTTGGCGCCAGTCGTGTCGCGCCGACCTCCTACTTCTCCCCATCTGGCTCTGGCTGGCGTGATCTATGGGCAGAACACGTGCAGGTTGAAGACATCATGAACTATGCTCGCACGGCCAACGAAGGCGAAGCCGCTCAGAACGAAGTTTGGGTAATCGTGCATCCATCTGTCGAGCCAACATCGCTGGGCCTCTTTTCACAACACCGAGACCTGGGCTTCTGTTCACAAAACTGAGAGCACCTTGGGCTATGAGAGCTCCGCGCAGGCGCGGCTTGTGGAGGTCATCGATCGCCACGCTCCTCCGCAAAGCCTGTCAGCGACTTTTGGAGCGATGTTGACAGCAGGGCAACTTGGTGTTCTTCCACGGTGCCGGGGTTACTAAAGCTCAGCTAGGCAAATTTGCGCGCCACGAACGAGAGCGAGGGCTGGCAAGCGAGCCAATTTGCATCTTCGGTTCAAGTTTGGGGCTGCAGGGTCGGACCTGAGAACGTCGCAGCTCTCACGAAGCGCGCTAGTCGAGGTCTGCCATCCCTCGCCCCCGCAAAAGGCACTCTAGCTCGTTTCTGTGTTCCAAAGGCCGATGTGAAAGCCGGCCTTGCCGCGGGTAATCCATCTATTGCTCGAGCATACAGTGGTAGTGGCTCGAGCTGTGAGAGACCGCTGGCCCACGTCGCAACAGACTGACACCCAGTCTTCTCTTGAATCAGGTGATCGCGGCGCAAGACTCTCGTGCCGAATCGACCCACCGCCAAGCCAGCTGCGGACGTGAACGAGAGAAGGCCAATCAATTGTGGGCTCGGCGGGGCTTGGCGGGAGACCAGCGCTCATGTAATCGTACCCAAAAAGGGGGCAACGATACCTTGTTACTGACGTGTCCCTGCTTGCGTCTCAGTCGTCACCAGGTCGCGAGAGCACACCACCTCGTCACGGCGGACTCTTCGTACTTCGCGGCTCCGAATGAATCTGGCAGCAGTGGCTTAGGGGTCTTGCACGAGTATATTAGTCCCTCCGGGCTACTCACTGGCGACCTGCTCGGAAAAACACGCGCAGTGTGAGCAGGAAAAACGGTCTCGAAGCGGTTGGGCCGCAGACGGGCTCACTGCATGCATCCGGACGCTTGACACTCACGCTTACGCAGAGTCTCTACTAGCCAGTACCGGTCCATGGTATTTGAGGTTTACCGGTAGATCCGACTCCTGACCTCGAGAATCGCAGCAGGAGTGGTTCAGCGAGGAACCCGCAACCTATCCAGCGTAATAAACAAGAGAGGCATTAGCTTGTAGAAGATGAGTCTGTGGTACGAGTTCTCAGGAGTGAAAACACATGCGGCATGAGGTCTCGAGCTGCGCTGTCAGCCAGCATCAACTCATGCGCCGTCCGCCACCATGGGGAGATTAGATTTGCCCATGTCCGCGGAGGATGCTCAAATTGAAGCAAGACATGGGCCGGAAATCCGCGGACTGAGCGAGGCCGAGCCTCGGGCTAATGCTCTTACCGCGGCGCTTCAGATACTTCGCTTCAGGCGGGTCCGCCAGCATAAGCTAGTGCCTCTTCAGGCATAATAAGGTATACAGGTCTATCGAGGCGGCATTAGTGCGCATGAAATAAGGTGAGCCAGCGACTTCGCCTGTGGAAGAGCAAGCAAAGGGCACATCGGAGGCTCGGCGGCATTAAGGAGCTGAGACATTGATTGATCGAAGTTCAGCAGGTGCACTCTTGGCAACATTTTCAGATTCGATTCCTCAGCTGGCTAAAGCTCTGTGGCGTTAAGAGCTTCGCGATACTTTGGAGAGAGCCCAAGCCGACTTGGAGAGCTACATGCTGCGGACCGGCCCCACGTCGAGGCATCGATTGGAACAGGAAGACTGGGACTGCCCTTCAGGGGACGCTGTGCAGACACTCCCAGTTCGTCTTCTTGAGCTCGAGCGGAAAGCTCCGCTCATTCGGGGACGCAACCTGATGGGCTATTCGAGCGTTTCCAGCTGCGTCGTTTTGGCAGCTGTGTGCACAGGACACCTGCAGGTAGCTGACTGTAAGATGATGGTCGGTTTCCAGAACACTTTCATCCTGAAGCGCAGACTACATGACGCTAGTTGCTGCAGGCGCACGCCACTCCATGCACGGTGTTTCATGATTCAGGATGGCGTAGAACAGCTTGGCTCACAATCACGCGGCACTGCGCAGCTTTGCCGTGATGCAGTAGCACGCTGCGTGCATGAGAACTTCAGCTCTCAGCTCTGCGCGCGTTCAGACACTCCGAGCTGCACGGTGACCTCCCTCGAACGGCCTGTGCCCAGCGCTCTCGACCTGTAAAGGCTGCGTCACCAGCAGTCGCGGTCGCACGCAACTGATTGCCCCTCAATGTGTTGGATATCCAAGCTCTACAACGTCGGCTAGGCCATCACTTTGGAAGTGTGTCCCACATCCACCGCCATGGTGCGGACTAATACTTTAGCGAGATGCGAATAGCATCTGCAATTGGCTTAGCGCTGGCAGGAGAATTCAACCAAGAGAGCTGATCTTGGCTACAAATTTCTGCGTCACTTCTGAGCCTGGTACATGAGGCTGGCAGCGGCTTTGGCGAGGACTGCCTCGTCCTCACTTTTTGATTTCGCAATGACGATAAAGAAGTCTGATTCTGACACTCATACGTCTGTTCGAATTGAGCTCCAGCGAGTACGCTTCGACGGCAGCAAATTCTCAAAAACTTACCTGCGATTCGCGTTTATCACCGTAAGCAAGGCGTCGCCGGAAATAGGGAGGACTGCTTGTTCATCCCAAACGCCGTTCCCACCGCAACCCGTTCTCCGTGTACATCCCGTTCACGGGCCCCCCTTCACTGTAACAACTCCTCGGGTCGCGCCGTAAGCGGGCTGAGCGACGCTGATCATCTTGTCAGGAGCATGCCACGCAAAAAGTCGATCGAGCCTACGGTGAACAGATCGTGTTTACGCTGTAGGCAGAAAAAGCTGCGATGCGATGGTTCCTTTCCTTGCGAGGCTTGCATCCGCAAAGGCGCCGCAGAACACTGCGCTGCACCGCTCAGAAAGGTCAGGGCCAAGAAAGTCGACCAAGCGATGGCCTATGCTAGACTCAATAACCTTCAGAGCTACCAGCATCACTACTTCTCAACCCCCGCTCTGGACAACCGTGGCTCGTCGAATGCCATCAACGACTTCGGTCCACCTGCGTCTTCGACCATTCAGCGGAAGCCCATTCATTACTCTTTCCCTCGTGCGCACGATGCCGCCGGCAGATGGCCTTCGCATCTGGATGCGCAGGCAAGAGTCTATCGACTGGCAGCCTACCGTAGACTCTTGCGATCGAGAGCTCATTGCGAGACCGTCTTTGTCGAATTCGTGAGTGCTTGTCCCTAGCACCTCCTGATCTTGACCAGAGCTGATAATGCGTCGTCCCTCTCTAGGAGAGGACTCTGCTGTCAGTCATGCACGATGCGATAGACATGAATCTGCTCCGAAATACAGCGGATCTTCTCTACAAGTTTCCCGCCGAGACTGCACAGGCTTCTGATGCCATCGAAGGGAAGATGGAGCACATCGCGCTGATCCTTGCTTGTGTCCGCCTATGCTCCGCGTCCCATCCGTCCAATGATCGCATCGATCCTCGCCAAGCTCAAGATCTCCTCTTCTTGGCAGAAGAAGCCGTCGAGGTGCACAATGCTAGTCAAATCAAAAGCTTGGCAGGTCTGCAAGCAGGTATGCTTCTTCTGATTATTTACGAGAGCGAAAAACGCTGTCGTGACGGACAATGGGACAGGCTTTGGGAAGGCTTAATCGGCGCGTGTGTCGAGATGCGTCTTCACGACCTTGCCGGTCATACAATGTCTCGCGATGATCCTCAATTCACACACTTCACATCGCGGCAAGAGGAGTTTGCGGTCAGAATATGGTGAGTGTGCCCATTCTGTGCAACCGCAGATTTGACTGTAGTCGAGACTGATAGGCGATGATGGTGCTGTGATCACAGGTGGTGGTTTGTCTGTCGCGACTGGTTAACGACGTGCTCACTGAACAAAGCTGGATTCAAGACTCGTCTTCCCAGCGACCTCGATCAGGACGCGCTCGACCATGCAAGGGTGCTCCAGCTGCCGGCATCTTTACACTACACCCGGGCCACGTACTCCCTCCGACTCATCGACCTTGCCTTTCTCAACTACGAGTGGGTCAGGGCACTCAAAGACACGTCAACGCCCTCTTCCTCCGATCTGCAGCCGGCGGCTAGACAACAATTGCTCCACCGAATCCCTCCCATGCTTCAGCAACTTCACCAGCTGTACTTTCGCCCCGATCTCTCGATGCGATTGAAGCAGGAGAACAGTCAGGACAACAAGGCAGCTCTCAACGCCGCAGTGATACTACGCGACCGCTGGTTGCTCTGCCACCAGGCTATGAGTACTCTTGGCAGCATCTACTTGTCCGAACGAGCATCTTGGGATGCTCAGGGAGATTTGACAAGCGTTGCTGCCAGCCTCGTGTCCACGGCCCTCAACTTAGTGGAGCATAATGAGCCAGAGATGGTCCGACACCTGCAAGGTGCGCCTATCAAGTGAGTGAAACGCATGAGGGCTTCCAAGCCTGGGCAGCAACGAGGAATCGTCAGGAAGAAAGTCATCAGCTCACCTGAGCGTCCGCGTCCTCATCCCTTACAGCATTGGACGCTGGCACCGAGTGCTCGAGGCGTGCTACGTCATCTTGCAAGCTGTGCGCTTAGAGGGCAAGCTTTCGCGGAGCAGTGCGACAGCTCCGCTGCACCGGGTATGGTGCGAGAAGGTGTCGCGCGCTTTGAAGCCTCTCCAAGCCTCTCATCAGGGAGCCTGGGCTGCCGCTGCGATCACCACTCGCATTCTCAGTGGGGAGAGCTGGGATGCGGCACTACAATCCGCCAGTCGACAAATTGGCTATGGAAGTCAGACCTCGCTGCGCTCGTTGCTTCAGCTTGGCGGCAGAGCTGGGTGTATGGACACGCGTAAGCTTCTGGAGCAGCAGTGTGATGTGACTGCTGGCTACATCGCTGCAGCACCTCGCTTGGACACCGATTCTGATGCGCACTCGCAGTCCACGACTCCTCTTCCAAGCTCTGTAGGCGGCTCAATTAGTGTGTCGTCTACTCATGAGCTCGGAAGCCTTCAACACCAGCCTTTCTCACTCGCTGTAGGATCTTCCACGAGACCAGCGCCAGCGACGATGGCCCTCAATACCACTTCCTTGGCACCCTCGTCGAATCATGCTAATCAGGCACCTTCTCTGTTTCTCGAACCATTGGAGTGGTGGGGCTCCACCGACCCGAGCAGTAGCAGCGGCGGGTCATGCTCGAGCGACTATCAGGCGTATGGAAATCATGCAACCGAAAATTGGGCGACGGTGCCGGTCGCTGGGTCAGCGGTTCCATTTAACGAGCTGCAGAGGCGTAATGCCTCTTTCATACCCCACGTCAGCACGCTGGAGCTGGAGAACGATTTCATGCCTTTTCGAAGTTCTTAAGGTCACCGTCATTCCTCTCGATCATCTCAAGATCTGGCACCACCAGGAAAGGCGCTGCTAATAAGCGTCCACTTTCGTCGTGTTCCCTCGCCAATTTGGCTGGCCACTGCCCTTTGCATCGCATTCCTTCAATCCCTCACCTCTTGCTGCCTGATTCAAGGTCTTCCTTCTTGCTCTGTCATCGTCTGCCCCCTTCTGCCTCTTTGATCGCTGATACTCGTCGTCGCAAAATCGCTACTTGTTCTTTCTTGTCAGGACCCCCCCGTCGCTTCCTTGCATGTCGTCTTCTTCCTACCTCGCGAGACCACAGTCACGAGCCTTCTCTTTGCACCTCGTACGCAGTCTTTCCTCCTCTTCTTCCTACTTGCACGCCTCACGCACAGCAAAGCAATACCAATTTGTTCCTTTGATGCAGAATCGTCACCATTTCTGACCCTAGAAACCATTTTCATCAAAGATCACGAAGATAAGCTTAACAGTCTTGAGTGCGAGGAAATGGAGCTAGCCGGCCCTGCCAAATTGTGATAACAAGGACAAAGCTCGATCATTGTCCGTGCAGGCGTGTAAGCTCGAGCACTTCTTTTGGCTGTCAGCATGCGGAAGTCTAAAGTCAAAGATGAAAGTAACAGAAGTAAGAAGGTCGCAGCTGAGGAAACAGAGAAAAAGGAGGCAAAAAAGTGCATCTGTGCTGTCGTACATTGCGTGGGCTTGCTTCAATTGGCACGGGGCGTGAGAGTATCAACTGACCTAGGGAGCCGCTTGTGCTTCGTGACGCGCATCGCGGCGCAACCTGTTATCTGCGCAGAGGGATGAAAGAGGAAGATGGCATCGTTACCAACATGACTGCAATTCTGGGACCCTGCGGAATCGAACCCATACCGCGCTGTCCAGCAAGTCGACAGTATCTGCGCATGTGCGCCGATTCCACGCAAATGTACGCGACAGCGCCTCACCACTGAGGCAGGAAGCACGTTCATAACTCAAGTTGCGGCTCATTGCGCAATATGAACGCATGCAGTCAACAGCCGTTGCATTAGCGCTCGTGCGGTCAGAGTCCACCATGCAATCGGAAACAGTCGAGCTCGAATCACCATAAGCTCTTGCTTTTTCATCAGCACCTCCACACATCCAAAATGTCGAGCGAGTCGATCAACTCGGACTACAATCACCACCATCTGAGCGTGTGCTCGGCCATCTAGCAACTCCACAGCACATGCACATTGCCGGGCCTGTCGATCCACCTACCTCATGGCTCCCGTGCCAGTGACCCCTCCACACGCACTGAAGCGATGGATGGACGAGCCAGACAATGGCACGGAAGTGGTCGCATCTGCTGATCGATCAAATGAACATCCCAGCGCACTATCGCAGTGGCAGAGGGAGCGAGACAAGCCGCGTCATGAGTATTCACAGGCACTAGCGCACGACGCTCATAGCGGACAAGTTCTGGCCACGGATGCAGAGCCAAGCCACGCATCCACCTCGAGTCAGGGGTTCATGGATCCAGACGATTTTCAACCTGAGGAGTACCTATCAGATGGAGACCGAGACGCAGGCGAGCAAGATGGGGACGAGCTGTGGGAAGACGAGGTTAGCTCTTCATCTGGCTCGGAGTTTGAAGAGGATGAAAGCGTCACTACCAGAGGTGCTACACCAGCAGGGGACGGCACGCTTGAGGAAGGCACATCTCCAAGGGGGCAGACTGCACAGACGAGCAAAGCGCAAAGCTACAGGAATGCTCTGCAGCAATACAAGCAGAGTCGGAGAGCTCTCATGCTGAGCAACACAGAGCCTACCAGCTCTGCGCACAGCAGTGAGCCCTTCTTGCCTTTGCAGCATCTCGGCGATGCTGATGAGCGTGCCGCTGGGCGCCAGTATGAGCCTACGCAAGAGGCCGGGAGGCGCACTGCACATCATGATGCACAAGCTCGCTCAATCACGCCCCTGAGCACCAAGGCGTCCTTCAAGAAGGATTTGCAGTTGCCCACCGACCCCTTCTCAAGACTGTCTGAGGCTGTGGACGATGCGACTCCAGTCCAGCGGGCACACGACATCCGCTTCGACAAGCTGCACCTTCCTCGCACTGCAAAAGCCGCCTTACCCTCGGGTCTGGCCGACTCTCATCGCGAGTCAAATATCGAGAGTGGGTCGAATCGAGCTGACGCTGTTCTGGAAGCAGATGTACTCAGTGCGCCCAGAGGAGGAGGTGGCGATGTACGCGAGGCTACACTTCGTGAGAGCTCCAACGATACGCTCGATCAAAGCCAGGCCCAAGATCCTCGCGGAGCGGGAGGCACAAGCAAAGCACATGTCCACTCGCGCGCTCACAGCAGGGAAGACCCTGTATCTGCAGCAGACCACTTGCCAGGCTCACCACCAGCAGCGCATGCCAGTGCGGCATCTGAGCATTTCCAAGAGAGGAATCAGCCTCGAGCCGGATCGTTCGCCCAGCAGGAAGGCGCAATCACGCCCCGCACGCACTCGCCCCCCTCCGCGTATCACTCAGATGAGTCGATTGTGTCGGATACCTCACGCCCCGATGCTGAAGCTGTTCACTGGGAGGCACCACGCCGCGCTGACGACAAGCATCTGATCGTGGAGCCGAACACTCCTCTCGCAGCCAGGCGCGCTTCTCCCGTCGAGGTCTCGACTCCTCGCCCATCATCGCACTCGCAGTCAGCGGCTGCTCTGAATACACTGCCACTTGTGGGCTCTCAGTCTTCCCTGAGTTTGTGGGATTACCTTCGAGAAGAGATCGTTGCGACGGACTTCGACTCCACACAGGAAATGAAGTGGGAGCGCGTAACGAATTTCATTGCGATCCCCTTCTGGATGGAAAGGGTGAGTGATGTTTGGTAGATGCCCGCCGCGATCTCACGACTCACTCTGGAGGACTCCATCACCACTACAAGATCATGGTCTTTGGCATCGCTGTCTGCCTCGACTCTTTCCTCTACACCTTCACGATCCTACCTCTCAGATTCGGTGTGGCACTGTACGTCTGGACTGCGAACCTGATGAGGTGGTGCTTGGGCGGCGAGCGCCGATACCTCCACTCGTCGCACAAGTGCGACCTTCTCAAGGCGGCTCTGATCGTGCTCTCTTGCTACATCCTCTCGCGAGTGACAGACGCAAGCAAGATGTACCACAGTGTCCGAGGGCAAGATTTTGTCAAGCTCAGCGTCATTTTCAATGTGCTGGAAATTGCGGATCGCCTCTGCTGCTCATTCGGGCAAGATTTGCTTGACAGTCTATTTTCGCGAGCCACGCTGGCGCGACGAAAGGACGGCAGGCAACCTTATCTTCGACCGACTGGCTTCTTTCTGCTATCTCTGGCGTACATCCTGGCGCACACTTTCGTGCTATTCTATCAGCTCGTCACTCTCAACGTTGCAATCATGAGCTACGACAATGCTCTGCTCACTCTGTTGATTTCCAACCAGTTCGTCGAAATCAAGGGAAGCGTCTTCAAGAAGTTCGAAAAGGAGAATTTGTTTCAGCTCACTTGCGCTGACATTGTTGAGCGCTTCCAGCTTGGGTTAATGCTGTCCGCCATTGCACTGCGCAACTTGATAGAGATGTCAGGCATCAGCGCTAGCATTGAGGGAGGAACAGGGCCACTGCCGACGAGTTTCACGGTGTTCCCAAGCCTGAACATGCTGGAAACCATCATCGTGCCGGTCGCCATCGTGCTCGCATCGGAGTGCATAGTTGACTGGCTCAAGCACGCTTTTATCACCAAATTCAACCACATCAGACCAGCAGTCTACGGACGCTTCGTGGACGTCCTTTGTAGAGATCTCGTCGCTGGACCTGGCTCAGGCCAAGGATCGCGCAAGCACAACTTTGTCGATCAAAGTCCCATCGTATCCCGTCGACTAGGATTCGCAGCGCTGCCCTTGGCCTGTCTTTTGATTCGGATCACCAGCCAGATCCTCGGCATGTTGCGGGACACGAGTCATTTCGACGAGTGCGCCGCTCCGCATGCATCTCAGAGCAGTTTCAAGCTCGTCTACGGAATTGGCTTGGCGAGAGGCGCTGCGAGGATGCTGGGTGCGCACGATCCTGAAGGCGCTGCCAACGAGATCGCGGCGACCATCGCAAGGAGCGCAGCTTGGGCTCTAACGGTCGTCATCGGTTGGGTTTTGTGAGTGTGAAGCGCCGCAGTTTTGCGCGCAGCATGACGAGCACGCTGATGTTTGATCGTCGTGTTCGCTCCCACATCAGTTTGGTGGGACTGAAGCTTCTGCTCGGGCTCAATCTTGTCAGCTACGCGTCTCATCGCTACGCTACCATGCAGCAGCGAGAGCAAGAGGAAGAGTTGAATGCCAGGGATAGAGCACCGATCGGCGTTGATCGTGAAGAGAGGGTAAGTGCCCAGAGCGGTCTTCTTGAGCGATCAGCAAGAATTGTGAGCAGCTGTGCACTGACACTGGAATGCCGTGATTTCAGCTGCACGACGCAAAGATTGCACAGCTTTTAGATCGAGCGGAAGATGATGCGGGGAGCGTTGGAATGCGAGGTCAAGTAGCGCCTGCAAGAGGAAAAGTGGAGAGCGGCGGCGGCGGCGGTGGCGGTAGCAGCAAATCTAGCAAGGGTCCTTCTCTAATGGACGTCTCGCGCTATTCGATGATCAAAAGCAGGATCTGGTAGATGTCGCCGTACGACGCATATGCAAACGTGAATCATGAGTGACGCTCTGCTTGCATTGTAATATTATCCGATTTGGACAGTCCATACGGCATAGCAGCACGATGCAATGGATCGTACTGACGTGTGTTTCTGTGCCGCTCTACCTGCCTTTCCTATGCGTGGCGTTCCCCCCTTGGCGCTAATTCGATTGTGGGTACTAAGTAGCAAGCGAATAGACTACTCTGACCGCGGCTTGGCTGTGGCGATTATCGTGCCGATTTGACCACTTTGACTCTTCGGTCCGTGAGTCAAGAGTTCGTTGGCTATACCTACGTGCTGCTTCCTGGCGCGTGGATGTGCTTGACGCTCTTCGTGTCGGAGCACGTGACCCGCCACCTTGAAGCCGTGAAGGAGCGCGATGCCTGGGATGCATGTGCCTTAATATTCATTCAAATTATTGAGATAATTCCTTGATTAACGATTCGTGGTTTGGGCGCGCGGTTGTAGGCACCCTCGACACTCGTTGACTCTCCACTCAGCGATCTTGTGCTCCTCTCACAACATTCATCCGTTTTGTTTTGACTCTTGACCGTTGAGCGTTCAGTCTTCTTCGTCGATGCGGTGATAGCATCCCAACTACTAGAGCTAGTCGCGCGTGCTGAAAGCCGTTCCGTCTCGGGGCATTCAAGATCGATTGGCATGCAGTAAATTTCGAACATACGCATGTATCAGCAGATACAGCAGTCAGTCGTGAGAGAGTAGATCTGGTAACATGCAGCGCTACTGGGATCGCCTCCTTGCTTGGCTCGCGCGGCGGCCCCGACACGGCTCCGAGCAGCAGCACGAAGCCAGCAATCGATTCGACTGCAGACACGAGAGCTCGACGTCAGCATTCGCAGCAGCTCGACGCTCATCCACCTCTCGTGGCTCGGAGCAAGATATAATCCATCTTGCCATCGCGAGTGCCGTCGCTTGGCACGTACTTGATGCTGGGATGGCCAAGCAAGCACTCTGGCTCGTGACTCGCAGCCAGTCCCGCGTCTGCGTGTAGGCGAGGAGCGAGCAGTCGAAGAGTTGCCACGATCTCGGAGTCACGAGTGTATCGCCAGCGTCCGCAGATCAAAGGCACGAGTTCAGCATCGTCTATTGTCTGCCGGGAGAACAGAAGGGAGGGGCATGGCACTCGCATAGCCAGCGGGGGTCGATACCCCAGCGGATGCGAATGGACAGCCAGCCAGCCAGACAGACAGGAACCCCCTGTCAGTCAAGAGTCAAGGAAGGAGCGAGCAAACGCACGCGCATGCGCCTCCCCGATGCATATATGCGCTAGAACGTGTATGGGGATTTCTGCCTCGGAGCCCACTCACGCCTCACGCCTCGAGCCGCTGAGCGTGCCTGATGGGTGCTTTGACCCCTGCAGCAGCAGCAGCATATTCGCGATTGGTGCATGTGCAGCTGCTCTGGAGCGGGGGGGGTGTGTGCTCCACGTTCGCCGGTACTCACGACTCGCGCACATTACTCGTGCGCGCTACACTGCGACTCACTCTCGGAGATCGTGCACGAACATGCTCGCGCTTGCCACCTCCTGTCTGGAACGTCAGCCCAAAAGTCATGCGCTCGCTGATCCCGCGCAACGCTCCTCGACGGTCAGGAGGGTATTGGAAGTGTGGATGGGTGCTGCAATGCTCGACGGCACTTTGCCGCTCGCTGCCCGTGTTTTGATGCACCGCACCGGCACGCGGGTCAGGCAGCCAGCCACTCGCTTGGAAGCGCTTCAAAGCGGACCCGCTCTAACGGCGTTCGATCTCCGACAATCTGTTGTGTACTGTACAACCTTCTTTTTTGCTGCTTCCGTCTTGGCCCGCGTGCAGATTGGATCGTCGGTCAATGCAGCGGTGCGAGCAGCAGACGACGATGATGGACATCGAGCAGCGAATCCTTGGCTGGCTTGACAGTCACGATGCTCAACCGAGCTAGCTGCGTGCTCATCAGCCTCCTGGTGGAGTGGCTGCCGTGCCTAACAAACACCCAACAGCAGTGCTTGCTCCAGAGGCGCTCAGTCCTGCATCGGGCGGCTCCCCATGCCCGCTTTCGGCTCCTGCTCAAAGGCTGACTCGAGAGCGAAAGCGCATTTGCACAAAGACTACATATACAAGCAGGTTCCTGCATTTTTCCGCCCTTTTCCCCGCAGTTCCCCTTCAGCCTTGTGGCTTCTTACTCCCTCCTCCTCTTGCTTCTCCTGATCTTCTCTCCCAGTCAAGCTGTACGGCAAGCTTTGCCTGGACTCGTCTCTCCTGCTCACAGTCGCGGACGCTTAACGCACACGCTCCTTAATCTTCTCACATTCCTTTGGCTTTGACCTCGACCTCGTCGACGATTCTGCTCCTCGAGACGATTTGACAATTCTTACCGCGCACGCCATTGCGATCTTGCAGCACCACCCCTTCTTACCATTACCATGCGCCTCTCGTCGGCGTTTGCCGGCCTCGCTGCAGCAATTCTGGCCAGCACCAGCATCGCAAGCGAGGTATCCCACGACCAGCTCGTCTCGCACGCTCTTCGAGCCAGGAGACATCACGATGCTCGCTTGACCGAAGCCGATGTGGTCGAGCGAGCGGATGCGGATGAGATCGCCATCATGCCCATTGCTCGCGAGGTGGACAACACGGCGCTTAGCCAGAACCTTACCTCTCGCGCTCCTGCTTTCCGTTTCAACTACGGCGGACCAAGTCAAGGAGCAGATCTGATTCGAGGTGTATCCTTGGGCGGTTGGCTCGTCTTGGAACCTTTCATCACCCCTTCTCTATTCGACAGCACCGGCCCTTCCAACAACGGTATCATCGACGAATGGACACTGTGGTCGCGTCTAGGCAAGTCGGCCGGCGCCAGATTACTCCAACCTCATCTCAACTCTTTCTACACTCGACAAGACTTGGTGGACATCAAGAATGCGGGATTCAATTGGATCAGAATTCCAATTGGGTTCTGGGCTTTTGATGTGCAGGGTGCAGAGCCTTACCTCCAGCTGAACCAGTACGACTTGCTGAAGCAAGCGGCGGGCTGGGCAGCCGACATTGGCCTCAAGGTGATGGTCGACGTTCACGGTTTGCCCGGAAGCCAGAATGGTAAGTTTAGGAGGTCGTGCGGTGAAGAGTGCTCCATCTGACTCCTTTGACGCTGCACCTGATCAGGCTTCAACCACAGTGGCCGCCAAGGCAAAGCGCGCTGGTCCAACGGCACCAAGAATGTGGAGCGCTCCCTGGCCATCATCTCGACTTTGTCGAACGAGTTCAGCAAGGAGCGGTACGCATCCAGCGTCGTTTCCATCGAGCTCGTCAATGAGCCAGTCAATGTGGATGATGGTGTTCTCAAGAAGTACTACCGGGATGGATACAAGAGCGTTCGGGACAAGGGCAACCTCGTCGTCACGCTCGGTGATGGTTTCAAAGGGGGAGACTACTGGAACGGTTTCCTCTCTGCATCCGACAATGGGGCGTCGGGAGTCTCGCTGGATCTTCACATTTACACCGTCTTCGACAATACTTCCATCAGGCGAAAAGCGCAAGCTAGGCAAGACTACTACTGCTCCCTCGGATCCAAGTATGAGCAGCTGAACAAGGACAAGTGGCTAGTCGTCGGAGAGTTTTCGCCCGCTTTCACAGATTGCGCAAAGTACCTCAACGGAAGAGGTGTGGGGTCGAGGTACGATGGCAGCTATCCCAATTCTTCCAAGTATGGCGATTGCGGACCCAAGCGAGGTCCCGCTTCCGGCTTCTCGGCGGGCTACAAGGCTCTGCTGGCTCGCTTTTGGCAAACGCAGGTGGATGCGTACAGCAGAGGTTCGGGATACATGGCTTGGACTTGGAAAACTGAGGACGGTACGGCCGAGGAGTGGAGCGTCAAAAAGGGCATTCAGTACGGCTGGGTGAGTTTTGAGCGTATGCTTATGGGCCGAGGGCCCCTGGTCCTTGTGCCCTGGGACGAGGACATGAAAAGAGATGCAAGAGTTGACAGCCCCCAACAACTTGTTCCTGCCGCACCTCAGATTCCCCGCAACGTCGCCACTGGCCGCGTCACCGATTTCAGGTGCTGAGCCGATGAGACATCCATCAGTCACCCTCTTGATCCTTGGATTTTATCCCGCTCTTTGCAATCTTGAATGTACCTGCCTTGGCCCCCCGCTTTGCACCTTCACCGAACAATACCCCGAGCGCATTGCCTTTTCGTTGCTTGCCCGCCCCCTCCCTTTTTGCGTTTGTTTTTGCCTGTGCTGCTGCTGCTTCATTCTTCGCGCAAGGCATCCCGTCACACACTTCCGCCAACGCTTCTCATCCCTCGCGATCCCTCGCCTGTACCTAGCCGACTCATCAATCGCACCCACATCAGCAATTGTGAACAGCATGCTCCCGCATGCCTCAGACGACGTGAGACGGAAGCACATTGGATTGAGAAGCAGCGCATGAGATTTACGAGGGGCAGTGGGTTTTCATACGAGCACACGCGTCGAGGGTGAATGAGATGGGGGGGGAAGCGTCTTGTAATGTGGCAAGCTGTTGTTGTTGGTGCATCGCAGGCCGGCAGCAGCTGCAATCCGAGCGATTGCAAGAGAGGTCGAGGCCGGAGAAAAGGGGTGCGAGGGGGTAGGGGGCGAGGGGCAGGGAGGAAAGGGGAAAGGATAGCGCACTAGCGAGCGCTTCGGCTTCAATTCTTCAGAAAGCGATACCTGACTCGATCTGCCGCGATGAGAAAGATGGGCGGTTCGGCAGGTTGAGCGCTAGGTTGCGCATCAGGCTTGATCTGTTCGCCTACAGACTTCGCAAATCCTCCATCCTGCATGCCGACAGGCAAGACGGTATATCCGAGCGGGCCGCAATCGCACTCGGCGCAAAGCAGGTATTTCACCTTGACCGTCAGATCCGAAGACCCTCCTCTACCCGGCGCTCCATCTCCATCTGCTCGATTCCTCCCCTCGGCCGCCGCCGCTGCTGCAGCAGCAGCAGCCTCCGACTTTTCCTTTTCCTCCTGAGCAAGCCTTTTCTTCTCCGTCGTGTTCCAGAACAGAGAATTCTTTCGCTTTGCCAGAGGCTTGCGGGCAGACTTGCCGCTTCCCTCTTCGTCGATGGGAGACATGCCTCCGGATGAAGGATTGGGCGAAGTGGGCAGGTCGGGAACGACCCACGCCGCGTCTTTTGAGAAGCCGATATTCTCGAAAGAGAGGGGAGACACGAGGGTCCAGAAGCCCCGCACAGGGGTGCGCGTCACGCCCAAGCCGCTCTGCTCGCCGAAGGATGGAACTGCAGAACGAATTCTGGAAAGGGCGGATTGGGGAGGCGGAGGCGGTTGAGGCGCTGAAGGTGGCGCTGGCGAATTGGGAAGCGAGAGGTTCGCCGACGACAACTGTGATAAAGAGGCGCAACATGGTGAGCAAGCATGCATCAACGAGCTTCCGCCTCGCAAAGCGGACTCACCGGACCCATTTCGGCGATTTCCCACTCCGCGACATTCTTTTTGATGAGTTTGCATCCGCATTCCTCTCTGGGACAGTAGAGCTCCGCTATGTTCGTATTCCTTTCCCGATTGACCAATCTGGCTTCCAGAGCGTGGAAGGCATCTTCGACCGCAGTCTTGGCCGCCAGCGCCTGGCCAAGCACGGACGAGTAGGCCATTCCAGGGTTGCGCGGACCTGATGTGGACGGACTCAGGGTCTGAGAGCGCAGCGCAGCGACGAGCTGCTCCTGGGTCATGCCCTGGGGCAGACCAGTCTTGCCGCCTTGCGAGCTCGGCGGCGACTGCGCACTCGACGGGGTCGTCGCAGAAGCATCGGCAGCATTTGGCGAAGCAGCTTGCGCCGCAGAGAAGGTCGTCTCGCCGAGTACCGACGCGGCACCTGGACTATCGACAATGCCTTTGACGTCCGTCACGATGCTTGTTCCTTTGTTGGCCGGTGGCGTTCGCGGGGGAGACTTGCGAGCGTTGGATTCAGAAGAGGACCCCGACGTCGAGGTGGCAAGACTTGTCGACGCTGCTTGCTTCTTGTCGCCCTCAGCGGTGGCAGCTGCTGCAGCTACACTCCCGTCGCCTGCAGAGGCCGTCTCCTCCGCCTCTTCTGCAATCGCCTTTGGCTTGCTTCCATCTTTCGGGAAGAGGTATCTCCGCATCTCGAACCAGCTCCCGCTGCCCCACTGTACGTGACTCACTCCCAGGAGTTTGAAGGCGCACTTTTCGTAGAAAGGGATAAGCTCCTCGTGAGCTAGCAAAGCTACGCATTCGTAGCCTCGTTGAGGTCCTCTGGACTTTGCGTCCCCAATCTGCAGCTCAGCCCTCTGCAATCGCTTGACCAGCTCTTCGATTATCAGCTTGGCCAGACCCCGGCCTCTGAATGAAGGCAAGACGCATACAGAATGAAGGCAGACCAACCATGCATCCTCATCCGTGCTGTGCACCGACATGCTGCGAAGGGTGAGAGCGGCGGCTGCTGTGCCGCAAGTATAGGCAACGAGTTGTCTAGGCGGTGTCGCGGAGATGCTTAGAGGGCCAGCAATCTTGGGCGGCGGCGTGGGCAAAAAGGCTCCGAGGAACAAGTGACTGGCATTTTTTTGCCTGTACTTGAGTTTGTCCAAGCTCGCAGCATCTTCTCCAAATCCTTCCTTTTCCATGCGATAAGCTTGAGCGATCTCAGTCGGTCTCACCCAATCAAAGAACATGCCCGGCGGTCTGCCTTTGGCCGCGGCTGCGTCTTTCGTCCTGGGACTGCCTTGCTCTGGGTTCGCGCTCTTGCCATTGCGACTGGCGTCGCTACCAGCGGAAGTGCTTCCAGCACCGCCCGCATCCGAGAGGGCTCCAGCGCTGAGACTGCCACCTTCTGTGCTGCTGGTCGACATGGTGCGCGACAGACCGCCGCGGGGCGAAGGGACCTTGGCTCGAGCGGACATGTTTCGTGAAGCTCCCTTTGTATCGAAGCTGCTTGTTGCGCTGGCCCCTGCTGCAGAAGTGGATGGCCGCCTGCTTTGAGATCTGCTACCCGAAGCTTGAGAAGCTGTAGCCTCCGAGTCGGATGGACCGGATGGAGGAGTCGTAGAGTTCGATTGGCTGCCGCTGCTGTCGATGGCGGAGTGCGGACGTTGCCTGCGCGCGCTGCTCGATGAAGCGGGTCTGGATCTCGAGCTGGGCGTTCGGGAATGGCGGCTATGATGACCACTGCTGCTGCTCCCGCCTGCAGTGGTGAATGATGAGCCGATGCCGTTGCTAGCTGATCCACCCAGAGCGCTGGTAGAGTTGGAGAGCGATGAAGAGCCGGTGGCGGTGCTGTTGCGGAGAGGTGGCGCGCCTTGTCGAGATAGGGAGCGCGATGGTGGAGGAAAGAAGGTGAGGGGATTCATGACTGAGGCAACGAACAGTGTGGGAATCCTGTAAGCCTAGCAGAGGCGCTTTATGGTACAGCTGCCATCAACCCGCGACTTTTGCCCCCCTTTGCCGCGCAAGTGGGTGAGTGTGAATGTGTGTCTGTTCCCGGTCTCACACTATCGGGAGCTGCTGTATGGCGTGTAGGTCACAAAGTGGGTAGCACTCCGACCTGGATATGCTGCTGCTGTTGCTGTATAGCGCGACGATGGTCCCGCCGCAGAGATTGCTGCCGCGTTCTACGCGCGATGATGGCGAGCCACGGCGCGCGTCGGCTGCTGCTGCCGCGACGAACGATATGTGTTCAAGCAGCAGCTATAGGCAAGCGGCATATGCAGCCAGCAGCGGGCAGAGAGCATGCAGCAGCCAAGCAAGCAAGCAAGCAAGCAAGC